TTAAAAGCTTTTTTAATTTTTTTTTTTTTTTTTTTTTTTTTTTTTTTTTTTTTTTTTTTTTTTTGCAGAGAGCATGTGTGCTCACCAGAGACAGAGAGAAAGAAAATCACCCCCAGTGGGGTGTAGCTGTGTTATAATCCTTTTTCCTCTCATCGGCATTGTTAGCACGCACATACCCCCCAGTGTGTTTTTCGTTTTTTCTTATTTTCTAGATGTCATGTGTGCTGGCCAGAGAAATACAGAGACCAAAGAGAGGAGAGAGGGGAAAAGCAACCCCCCATAGGGAACAGTCATACCACAATCCATTCTCCTCTACCCTCCCATCTTTCATGATTTTGGGGCACACACACACACACATATATGCTGAGTGTTTCTCAAGTCACCAGGCTCAGGACTTGGACCATGCTGTCCACCCTGTGAGAATCCAACTGCATTAACCACCAGACCATGGAACCGGCCGCCTAGCATGTTTTCAAGCCCACAGTGTGGGATTCAAACCATGGTGAAACATGTGGTATCCAGCTCCCTTAACTGCTACACTACGATACCTACCCTCAAAATCTCTTTTTGTAATAGACTTCTCTATCATGATAGTATAAACTTGAAAATGTATGCAGCAGATGCATAAAAGTCCAATAAAAGCTGAGTCAGATGCTGTGAATAAGCTCCCTAGACCTCTGTACTACCATCCTTTTAGGTAGAGAAAGACTGAAAGGTAAAAACTGTGTTTCCCAGATTCTCCCACAGTAAGGGTTCTGCCTAAAGCATATGGGCACTCCTATAAGATTTCGAAGGCAGGAGTAAGGTGTGGACCACCTACCTGCTCCTTTTAGTTGCTTTTCTCCTGGCAAGCACAGTCCAGGAAACATGAGGCTTTCCTGCAACAGGATTCCAGGTTCCCTCCTCCAGCCTCCTGGGTAGTTGTGCAGTGACCGCAGTAATGGTGGTGTCGTATTCCTGTGGCTTCTTGATTCCAGCTTCCCAATTTCTAGAACATGTTTGGGATGTGCTCTTGAATACACCAACAGTGGTAGCCACAGACGTAAACATTTCCTAGCGAGTTCGTTCCATAGTTTCCTGGAAGCCGCTCCGGAGAACCCAGCAATATCTGCTATAAGCACTTTATTCCTTATATTAAATGTCCCCCTGCCTAAAATACCTACAGTGGTCTCTGTTTAGTTCATTAATTAAACAGTTTCGAGTTGACCTTTCTTGATCTCCAACTCCTCTGTCTGTGGAGGATAGTAAACCTGAAAATGAATGAGTTCTTGGAATGTGTCTGGGCCACCTCAGGAGCCAACTTCAAATTTCAGAGACCTGTTTTTATTTTATCAAGACTAAGAAATAAGGAAAGGCCTCATTTGATTATGAAAAAAAAAAAAATGAAGCAAGAAACCCCTAGAGTTCTGGGCACTCTACCCGTTCCCACCGAGAAGGAACAGGATGCATGCATCTAGGGTGAGACTGCTACTGGAAGGACATGGGTCCTGGACCGCCATTCCAGCTCTTAGTCTTTTTATGAGTAGTTAATAGGATTCATAGGAAATACAGTCCTGGAACTCTAGCTGGACAGCACTTCCTGGAAGCAGGTCTTTTTGTTTCTGAGGATAAGGCTAACATTAGAGTTTTCTTCAAGAAGCAAGCTGGTTATATAAGGAAGTGGCAAACTCGCAAATGAATGAAAACCAGCATGTACTGAACAGGGAGCCCCAGAGTAGAACACTGGTAAAAGGCCACGCTGTGGTCCTGAGGCCAGAAAAGATGTTGTGAGTCCAGATTCCACAGACTGTACAAACATTATTACCATATTTGGTTTCTGGCCAATGTCCCATTGACCAGGATAACTGGTAGCAAGCATAAGTTCATCTTCAGAACCTGACAGGTCAAAAGAATACAGAATGTAGAACATGACAAGGGTCTAAGAAAATTCCTTGCCCCATGTTAGTGACAATGAGTGATATGCTGTGATATTCAAAAGACTGTGATTATGTAGGACTTCTAGTCTCCATATACAATTTACCATGGAAATTTTATGATGGTTTCCATAAAGTTAACCTTTTCCTTATCTCTGATTTTCCATGTTTAAATGTAATTGATAAGATGTGTTTTTACTCACCAAATTAAAACTGCAGTTCTGCCTGGAAAAGCTATCTCTAGAACAAAGGAGAACATGGTTAGACCAGACTGAAAGATATTTCTGGAGCAAAGAACATTGATTAGACCAGATTGAATCTGTTAGTTGTTTGTCTAGCAGGCAGCTATAGTATTAATCTGTGGAGCACCTTCAAAGTTTGTGCAAGTGGGAGCCATTGGGAGCCTGTAGATGAAGAAGACTGAAAGGGGTGTTGGGTTTCCAAAAGTGCTTTCTTGTGTCCTGTATCTGTATGTTTGAATACTGTGGGGGTTCAAGACTGCTGTCAATGACCTCAAAAACTGCTTTCTAGCTGGGTCCTAAGTCCTTGGGTTCTTGCAGAATTTGGGTCAAATTCTTTAGATACCTGTTTTTCACGGCGTGTCTTCTCAAAGGACACTAAGCGATTCATACTGACTGCCTCATTTGTGTTCCAGTTGGATACTAGAGGCAAGCAGGGAGTGAGCCTGCAAAGTGCATAGTCCAATGCACCTGAGCATCACTCAGGAGCAGTATGATGGTGTAGGGTAGGGGACAATCAGCAGAGACAGGAGATCCAGACCAAGTCTGGGCTTGGGCTGGTCACTCAGCCTCTCTGGCCATTAGTTCCTGTACTCAAAGCTCAGTTTCCTCAGCTAAGATCACGTGAACACAGATGTCCATTTTTGAGTCCTGCTATCCCAAACTAACAAAAATAGGAGAGTAGGAAAAATAGGCATTTCCATATTTATTTCCTATGAATGGTTTATAGGAGCTCATTTATTGGGTTCAAATCCCAGATCATCAGATCAGGTGAAATATGCCTTAAATTAGACCAGTTGAAAGCAGAAGCACAACATCTCCCATACAGAACAAAAGTAGTGGTAACTTGCCCTTCTGAAATGCCGTATGTCATTAGAGCACTTTAGAGTCCATGTGTCTCACTTAGTCTATTCATTCTGTGAAATAGGTGAGGAAACTCACCAGAGCTTGTACCTTAGACTCTGTCTCCAGTGTGCTTTACACAGAAAGATCTTCATGATTAAAATTTTATATTTGCTTCTACTCTGTATTTCTGTTGGTGTTAGACCTGAAATCTAAATATCTTGGTTCTCTTTTACACAGAAAACGTTCTGAAAAGACCGATCCAAGTCAGGTTAAACTAACAAGAAGCCCCATTCCCATCTTCCGTCATCAGAAAGGAGAGCTTCACCCTGAGCAAAAGCATCCTAAGGGAAAACAAGACAAGTATTTGAAGGAAGTCCACGTTTCTGCCTGAGACAGGTTCCTGTAGGCAACCTAAGAGGAAGACTGCACTCTGGAGGAAAGCATGTTAAACCCACTTGTTCATCTGATTGTCAGCCAATTCTAGTCCCTAAAGGGAAGGTTTCACATTCTTTCTCAGTCTGGAACACAGGTTTGGCTCAGGGTTCTTCTGCTAGTTGGTGCCCCCTCTTCCTACATTAAGCTCTTGCATTACTCTCTCTCACTTCTTTCCTCATTTTGTACCCAGTATTTTCCTTTTCTTCCTTCTTTCTCTTCCTGACTGCTACTCTCTCTAGCTCTTTTCCTGCCCTTCTTTTCTTCCTTTCCTTCTCTCCCATAAGGATCCTATAAGCCTGTGTCTGAAGTCCAGGTGGCATTAATGGAGATAAGATATTTAGAAAACAAAATAACTTGCAACAGGAGCATTTGCCTTGCAGAGAATTCTCTTGTTGATTCCCTCTTAACCGGACTGAGCAAGTGGATTACACATTTGGTTTGCTGTTTTCCTTTCTTAGGAAAGTGCTTAAGAGAAGTCTCCCTTTGGGGTTCACATTTAATTATTTGCTGTTGCCTACCCTACTATTTATCTGTTTATTTTGGCCCCAAAAAACTACAAATTTTTCAGTAATTGGCTAGTTAAAATTCTTCTGCATTCATAAAAGTCCAGGCCTCCCTGTGTTGATAGAATCATCTTTTACACATGTAAAAAAAATGGTGAGCTCTATTTCTACAGTGTCATTGAACTTCCTCTTATAATCGCTTGAGGAGTTATCTTTTAGCCTTTGACTAGAAAAGAAGATGAGTATAAAGAACATAATTTTTGTTTTCAAAAGTCTTTTGGCATGAAGACTTTTTTTTTTTTTTGAGAGAGAGGTTTTTGCTATAGGGCACATGCATTCGCCGGAAAGACAGAGACAGACAGAGAGACAGAAAGCAAGAAATCACCCCCTAGGGGGGATGGCCACCCTAAAATCCCTTCCCCATTCTCTTCAAGATCTTGGACATGCATGCACATGCACCGGCGTGAGTTTAAGCCACCAGGTCCAGGACTCAAACCACGGTTGACTACAAGGAAGTCCAGCGACACAGCCATTACACCAACTGCTGGTCCCAGCATGAAGACTTTTTAAAATGAACATTTCTGGGGTTCTTTTTCAAAATCATCCATGTAAAAGGTTAAAGAATCTTGGTGTACCATAGCGGGCCTCTCTTTATGAGTCCACAACATTAGATCAGTTCTGAAAAAGAGAATTAGGACTGTAACAGACCACATTTCCTTGTGGAGCATTGAATCTGATCATTGTAACTTTTCCATAGCCACAGCATTCCTGGGTTTTGGAGATGGTGAATTGCAAGAACCCAGAGAGATTACACCATCTGACCTAGTGACCAAGGGGACCTTATGGCACCATCAAAGTCAACCTCCACAAGATGTAAATTCTGAGTTTATTCATAATGACCCTAATTAATACCATAGAAACCCCAATATTCCAGTCATTTGGCACTTAGGGGAGGGAATTGTACACATGTGTATGTGAATGTTGTAAAGATACTACACAAAGGAAAGCCATGTTCCAACTTCTCTGTTGCAAAAATATTTTTTTTCTTTTTTGGAGAGGTTTATGCTATAGGGTACGTGCACTCGCCAGAAAGACAGAGAGAGACAGAGAGACAGAAAGTGAGAAATCACCCCCCCCAGGGGGGATGGCCACCCCACAATCCCTACTCCACTTTCCTCTTGGGATCTTAGGCATGCACACACACACGCCTGCCATTAGTTTAAGCCACCGAGTCTGGGACTTGAACCGTGGTCGACCACACGGGAGTCCAGCGACATAGCCATTACGCTAACTGCTGGTCCCTCTGTTGTGAAAATTTTTGGCACAACCACAAGAACCAATGAAACATGTCAACAACTAGTTTTCTGAAATTATATAATCTGAGTCAAGAATTTTTAGTGTAAATCTATGTTAAAAATTGTTTTATGAGAGAGATCTATTTATTCAGAGTCTCACTGTTGCAATACTCTGCCCAGGTTCCCAGCTGGCTAAAGTTACAGGTACATGGCACTGCACCTAGTCCTTTTGTATTGGTCCAGTATCCAAACTTGGGCCTCTCCTATGGCCCCAGCCTCCACTGTGGCCCACATCTCCTTTCTGATGACAGAAGATGGGGATCGGAGATTGATGGGCAGGACTTCTTGTTAGTTGAGCCTGACTTGGTTGAGTCTCTCCAGAATGTTTTCTGTGTATAAGATAACCAGTATCCTACCACTGTGCCACCATGGCTGGGCCAATATTAACAAGTTTTAGGCAGGATGACTGTTTTCTCATTCACAATGAGGGCACATGCTCATTCAATCCAGTTTTTACTTATCCCACTGGTATAGATGTACAGTTTTACCTTAAAATTATACAAAGATTCTGAACATAGTATCTTCTACCACCTCAAACAGCTAGTTTCTAGGGGGAAAATTAAAATAAACTCCTATTAACCAGAATTGACCATTATTTTGAGTTTCAATCGTCGTACTATTTCTAATATATGTCATCTTAACAAACACATTGTCTTGCATTTGAGACACTAGTTTCCCAACAACCAAGTACTTTCATATTTATTGCCTTGTTTTGATTCACACAATCCCATGAAGCAGGTACTGCCATTTCTTCCATTTCACTGATGCTTGATCTGATGGGTGGGAAGCATAAGTAACATGCCCAAGATCTCAGAGGTAGTTAGAGCAAAGCTGAGACTCTCACCTCTCGGTCTTGGAGTCCAGTTCTCATTATACTCTCTGCCATCTTTCTCTCCAGGAAATGTTATAATGAAACTGTACTCTTGGCAAGAAAGGTGATAGGTGGGAAACTGTGGGAAACCTCTGACTGCAAATCACCTCAAAGGGTGCTCTCCTCTGCATTCCTTCTCACTATCAAAAATGGTCACAGATCTAAGAAGTAAGCCAGCATAGAACAAAGCAGAACCTTGAACCATCTTAAAGATGACGAGAGAGTTTGAGGGGTAAAGAGAAGCTATAGATCTTCACCTTTTAAGTCCTCCCAGTCATGATTCACATTTCCAAGGCCGCATTGCAAACCTAATGTCAGATCTTGAGCCTTCTGCTGAGAAGTCAGCTAATCGTTCCAAAGCATACTCATAAATTTGTAGAAGTCAGAAACCAGGGGGGGAAAACAACTAATTTAACCACCAAATTATCCAATGATCAAGGCTAACTAGCCGCTGCATTCCTAGACAATTAGGGGAAATAATTTTCCCCTGTTCTCTGCCCAGTACCTCAAAGGCAATCGTTAGTGTGGCTTGGTAATAATTACTATTTATGCATGTGTATCTCAAAAGATGAGATACAAAAATGAGAGACATGAGCAAGGACACAAAGTAACAACTGTTTATAAATGCATATAGAAAGAAACAGAGAAAAAGGACTAAGAAGAAGTTTTGTTTAATATATACTTGTGGAAAAAAAGAGAATGAAAATAAAAAAAAACATTGTCTTAGGGAAAAACAAAATGGAGGACAGGACAGAAAAACATTATGGTATCAATTGAGTGGAAAGTTACTTGTGTCTAAGACTGATGTGTAAACATGATTTCCAGCCAATTCTTCAAGCAGATTAAGCTCCTTCTCCAGAGTTCTGCTCTCACAAGAATCTATGATATTTTGATTCTCCATAAAAAAAAAAGGCTAGATTAGCACTTAATATCCGGTATATGTATTACTCTAAACATGTCTGGTTGCAGGTGACGGCAAACCAACTCAAAACCTGCTGA